AGATGATATTTTTAAGAAGGAAGTAGTGGTACACGGCGATTAAATATCAGTTTAGATGATGGCTCGGGGATGGAAAACTTAATATCCATAAAATGGATATATTCAATAGTAATGAATTTTACTTGCTGCCTCGGACTACTTCTGCGCGTTCCATTAAGTTCCCCTACAAATGCCAAATAGAATAATGAGAAAGTTTCTATGGACTTGATTATGTCGAGAGAAAACAAACACCAACATTAGAGAAGGCTGTGCGAAGTAAACGCTTTGAGGCTTACTAATAAATTAGATACATCAGAATTAATAGACTATTTCTAAATCACTTCATGGGGTCTGCATGGGAAGAAAATCAATCAGTTCTGTTTTGGGAAATGGATAGTCATACGCTCTTTTAAATTTGAGAAAGCAAACAGTTTTGGATTTCTTGAGCGCCTAAAAAAATTTTAAGTCGCATTTGCATTCCCTAAAATCCTCGTGCGGAGATTCGTATACCCCTGATGAGGTGGCATGTTTACGATTGAGTGGCCCTAATATTAAAAGGCGTGGTTTCTAGAGCAGGATACGCGATTATCCAAGTCCAGATCCTCTTTTGAAGTATTATATTCAACTATATATGTGTAAAAATTCGTGTATTTTGATTCAGATGTTTCGGATCGTATTATTAGAATATAGAACAACACCAACCGAAGTTGAACTGTAAGAAATAAAAGATTAAGATATAAACATCCTCAGCTTTACACCAAATGTCATGAATATATTCGAAATATATAGTTATCAAAAGTATATCCTTCTGAATGACTGAGGCTATTTGAAATAAGTTAGCGGCAGCAACTTGAAAATTCATCTACTTAAGCCCGAGCAAAGTGTTAAGTAGATGAACAGCCAAAAGGATGACGGGTTGCCAGGCCACCAGGTAGCGTATCCAATCAAGCAGGGTCCCGAAGAGAATATGTGGTTTCTCCCATCTTTTTTTCACAAGAAATTGGCCCGCGTGATTAAGGCGGCGGATGCAACAAGGATTTTTGCGTAAAAACAGGTTTTTATTGTGGATGCGTTAGCGTTTTATTGCGTTGACCGGTAAAGTAAATTAATTATTTTTGGACAGAGATCGCAAATAATAAAGAAGTAGGATAGCCAATAGCGGTTGTTAAGGTTTGCGATAATTTAGCAGTAGGATAATGAATAAGTTTATATACTATTTTGATTAAGACTACAGTTGTTAGTTACGAGTAGAAGAGTAAAGGTCATGCTGAAGTATGGATAGCGTATTAACCTAATTGAACAACTTCGGTTAGCACAGATAAAACAATGCAACTTAATTAACTGCTTCGATTAAGAAATGTTATTAATCTAGCAAAACTGAAGTCTAGTCACATATATCTTTACTATCACATATACTTAAACCATAGACCTATGTCAATATTTTTTATTGACTGTTGCTTAACCTAACTCAATGCACAAATCTCTGCATGGTCTAACATATGACATGTTTCATGTAAAAATTTAAAAGAGAATAGGAAAAAGTTCCTGACTAGGCTGGAAAACAAACGAGCATGATTGGATGGAAGGTGAGCCTACAGGTTATACATATATTTAATAAAAAAGAAGGACAAAAGGATACGGATTCTTGAACATCTCTTTCAATCGAACCTTTTCTTTGCAGTAGGGGCAGATGTCTTTCTTGCCGACTATGCACCAGCCACGTATACAAAAGTCATGGAAACTGAAATTGAACAAATATTTTGATTAAAATGGAAAAAGATTAGTTAGTGTGTAAAAAGACGTACACGTGAGAACAATTGAGCTTGTAAATCTTTTCTTCGAGAGAGTTTAGAGGATTTGTACACAAGGAACAGACTCCGGACTCCAAGCGCCTAGTTGGCATGCTATCTGGCTTGTAATACTGAAAAAAATATTTAATAGCATATTTAAACATTAAAGGGAGGGGATAGTGGCCAACACTATTTCATGTTTCGATTAATTACGCGAAATTCATCGTAAAAAACTGACGAAAGAAAAAACCGTTTGCGAATAAGGTTTACCCAAATCAGAGAATCATAAACAAAATCGTCAAAAGGCCTTTGAAAATAAATGCAGTTAGCCTTCGATTTACCTCAAAGTAGTCAACACAATGTAATTCAGGTTGGTCAATTATTATATCAGTTAAGAGGGAATAAAAATAGTGAAAAAGACAGGTAAAAGAGTCCTAAGCAGAACATTTGAAGAAATTGCCCAAAAGCAACTTCTAAATACTAGTTAACCTGTTAAAATTAGAAATGAATGAATTTAAATGATAAGTTTC